CGGCATTAACTTTAATAAAAGTATGAAGCGGTCATATACATATGGCTTGGTTGCAACAATAAACTCACTCACTTTACTGACGAATTCGTGACGTAACATAGTTTTCACATATCCTCACGTATTATATTACCGCGTCGCCACGGTGACGGTCCGGGTTCGATTCTCTCTCACTCCCTAACGCTGAGACATCGCGGTTTCTATATAACCCTCGGAGACAGTTTGAACACAGATTCTCTCAAATTAAAAGAGAAAACACAAGGTTAGAACCACGTGCATTACTTCGCTGAAATTTAAATTAATTAACCGTTACAACGTGATATTGCAATACGTGATGGTGTCTCACCAGGACTTACGTATCCACAATACTTTCCCAGACGCTATCTGGACGTTGGATGCTAATTTATTACCGTCGGCGTCTCACCGGGGAGTAATTCCACGGTATTCATTGTGCAACATACATGACATTTTTAACGAAATTAAATATCCTCGGCTTTTAATCATCTTCCACTATACAGAGCTTTCAGCATGATTCCCACGGGAGGCCCACAAATGTGATTTGTTTGTGGATGAAATAACTAAGTGACGAGTAGGAGAAATTAAATTTAGAATAATTCACAATGTCCTTCATTTTATTGTGCATGAGAACATAATTCTCCACGTTGTTGTATGCCGTTGTTGGATCACGGAAACGTGTAATATCATTTAGTGACTATAAGGTAGCCCAGCGGTTAAAGCGTTTGCTCTTCACGCCTAAAACCTGTGTTCGATTCCCCAGACATCACTTAATTGTCTCCAAAACCCTGGTTGTTATAGCGACGTAAATTCCAGCACAATACTGCTTTAGTGAGTGAGTGAGTGAGTAGGGTTTTACGCCGCTTTTAGCAATATTCCAGCAATATCACGGTGGGGGACACCCGATATTGGCTTCACACGCTGTGCCCATGTGGAGAATCGAACCCGGGTTTTTTACGTGACGAGCGAACGTTTTAACCACTAGGCTACCCTACCGCCCCAATACTACTTGGAAGTATTCAAGCTAAATACCGACGGTCTGCAAATAATCGAGTCTAGACCAGGCTATCCAGTGATCAACAGCATGAGCATCGATGCACGCAATTGGGATACGGTGACATGTGTCAACAAAGTCAGCGAGCATGACCACCCGATCCCGTTAGTCGCCTCTTACGACAAGCATGGGTGTCTGAAGATCAATTCTAACCCGGATCTTCACGGATCCTGTTCGACATGAGAACATATTCACTTTAAAATCGGATTTTGTTAAAAACGGTGACAAATGTTGTTACCACGTAGCGGAGCTGAAAGTTGTCGCCGAAACACTGAAAACTCTAAAGTTCTGCTCTTTAAAGAAAATATTGTCTGAAACACAAATCCAAAGAACCCAAATGGCGGATATATGACACTGAAACTACATCAGTCATTTTCCTATCCCTATCTTGACAACATGTCACGATCGTTTAAAGACGTGTCCAAGTCTCTAGTGTGATTATAGCTTAATAACAACGAATATTTCTCTTAGACAGGGATCAAATTGAATCAATTCAAGAAGTCACTTATCCACATTTGCTGTCAGTGAGGGGCGGTGGGGTAGTCTAGTGGTTAAAGCGTTCGCTCGTCACGCCGAAGACCCGGGTTCGATGGGTACAAGGTGTGAAGATCGTTTCTGGTGTCCCGTGATATTGCTGGAATATTGCTAAAAGCGGCGTAAAACCATACTCACTCACTCACTGCTGTCAGTGATAGCTGATACGGTCCACTGTGACACAAAACAACACTCAGGGCCTAGATTTCCGAAGCTCTCTTAGCGCTCAGACAGTCGTAAGTTAATGTTTATGAATGGCACTTACGACTATCTTAGCGCTAAGAGAGCTTCGAAAATCTAGGCCCAGTACTCAAACGCTGGCTATTCGCGACTTCTTCGGACGTTATGTAACAACCCTTTACGACTTGTTTGTTTCTGGAACTCCGCTGATGTAATTACTCCTGGATGCGGCATGTCGTAAAATGAACTGTGAGACTCTTCCGCGGTCTCGCCGCTCCAGTATAATACGGTCGCTGGGTCTAAAATATTCTCTTGTCTTATCTGGTGATACAGCCGACTATATAAGCTTTTATCGGGCTCATGATTCGTTACCGATGTCTAATGGCGTGATAACCTGCTTAAATACGATCTAAAATGATTTTTGACCAATAGGGATCAGGGCAATCAATAACACGCTTACCGAATTGTGATTGACAGTACGACAAGTAGGACGGTGTGAATTTCAGAGATAAGTCATTGACTGATTGAAAGTACGCGCTGAAGAAGATGGATAGTTATAGTTAGAGTGATAAACGAGATCTGAACGAGACCTCACGAGAGTTGAGCAGGGGCGGTAATGAAGTGAGCGTTGTCAATGCTTATGTCATGGAATTGACAAGTTTGCGAAAAAAAACCTTTTCGATCGTAGGGCTTTTGTAACAACTTGTTCTATTCAAACACTGGTGCGATATGTGCAAATTGGATTGTTGTGACATCTAGCTCTGCAAACTTGGTTCATTGAATGGAATGTGAGGATTTGTTGCTTAAATATGACCTTGGTTTGAAAGAGCGGCAGTTGGTTGCTCGTTTCCGCTTGCTCAATTTGAACTCAGCTCTATTTTTCGCTCTTGACAGAGCAAGGGCAGATAACGCATGTAATCGGGAAGGCTCTGGTGTCAACCATCAGAAAAAATCACACGCAATCTCGTCGATATCAGAAGCTCTCTCCACCGAACTGTGGGGTAGAACTAAACACTCTTTCAGTCACCACTATTATGTCAAAGTTATATGACACAGTATAAGATTTAGTATTATGTACAAAACAACTTTCACTTTCATACATTTGTCAACTCATTTAGCTGATGTACAAAACAACTTTCACTTGCGAATATTTGTCAACACGTTAAGCTGTATGTATATAACAACTTTCACTTGCAAATGCTTGTCAACACATTTAGTTGTATATACAAAACAACTTTCACTTGCAAATGTCAACACATTTAGTTGCATGGACAAAACCACTTTCACTTGCAAATGCTTGTCAACACATTTAGTTGTATATACAAAACCACTTTCACTTGCGAATATTTGTCAACACGTTAAGCTGTATGTAGAAAACAACTTTCACTTGCAAATGCTTGTCAACACATTTAGTTGTATATACAAAACAACTTTCACTTGCAAATACTTGTCAACACATTTAGTTGCATGGACAAAACCACTTTCACTTGCGAATATTTGTCAACACGTTTAGTTGTATATATAAAACCACTTTCACTTGCAAATACTTGTCAACACATTTAGTTGCATGGACAAAACAACTTTCACTTGCAAATACTTGTCAACACATTTAGTTGCATGTATACAAAACTTGACTGCCACCACACATTCATGTGTGTCTACAACACAATCCCCACTTCCACATACCTGTCATGCATTGTCCCCATGAATATCTTGTCATTTTCAATTAATGTAACAAAACTAGGAAGTGCTGCATTCGCTTTGAAGCCAGGGAAACAGGAAGTTGTTTTCGAAGAAAAAGCGGATGTGGTCCGCCATATTGATTTTAATTTCATCACCAATCAACTTGTCACTGAGAAGAAAAATGAATATGTGAATAATTTATTCCCATTATGATATTGGTAATTATAGGGGGAACAGCTGGTTGGGGGCTTTCAAAGCGCGGTTAGTCACTTACGAACGGCAAATTATCCACAGTCTACCCTAACCTTTTGAAATGAGAGTTTAATAAGCCGGCTTTCCCCTTATCCACAGCCAATCGCCTTGCTTTGCGTCAGTTCTAAAACATTACACTGGTACCAAAGGGTGCCATTATTGAACATGTTTCAACCGATGCGGGTTTTTTTACCGATACGAGCCGTCATTGTGATTTATATGGCTTATATGTGGTGGTACGCATTAGTCCGCACCAGCGTTATGTAACATTTTAGTTCAATATGAGGCTCTTTCATCAACTTCAGAACTATGCGTATCTGTGACGAACGTGGGCACACTGTACATACATTAGAGAGTGAGTGAGTGAGTGAGTGAGTGAGTTTTTACGCCGCTTTTAGCACTCGACTAAACTGCCTACTTCAATGGTTGTGGAAACGGCCGCTATCGACACAGCCATGCTCTGATTCTGCCGTTTAATTCTGTGTTTATTCTGTGTTCAATGTGCTTTCTTCATCATAGTGATAGACAGAGGGCGTTGACAGGATGAGTGCTTCTTTGAATTAGAAAAGTACTTCCGCCGCCAACGAATCGTAATTAAACAAAACTCTTTATTGTGTATATTTGTGTTTAGGTCCCTATAAAGAATCGTCACAGATACTCTGTCTTCCTTAAAACACAACTAAATTAGCACGTGGTAGTGTTGCTGTAGGTTTGCTCAACAAGAAGAACGCTAAAGACAACAGGCGACATTATGTGATAAATATCTGCAAACGTACGTTACAGATGCCAATACGCCTGTCTTTAATGACGAACATTGACAAACATGTAACGTCGAAAGAATTTTGGTTATAAATAGATACCTGCTGCAGATGTTTGTCGCACTCCACGTGAACGTTTTCACTACAGGAGAATATGAATATAGTTTTCTGTCGTTCTACTGTAACTGGGCGGTGGGGTAGCCTAGTGGTTAAAGCGTTCGCTCGTCACGCCGAAGATCCGGGTTCGATTCCACACATGGGCAAAATGTGTGAAGCCCATTTCTGGTGTTCCTGCTGTGATATTGCTGGAATATTGCTGAAAGCAGCGTAAAACCAAACACACTCACTCACTCACTCCTATTGTAACTTTACAGAAGCCGAGTACATAATACTCGCATGTGGAGAGTTTATCAATACATGAAAGAACTTACGTGTGATCAAACGACAATCTGGTACTGGACAAGAGACTTAAGTTGGATTTTTGTCATTGTATATAGGTGCTTACGAATTGTTTCGTTTCGTTTCAGTGTCCCTTGCCGCACAGGATCCGACATTTGAGACACCCGTGGTCAATGTGACTGTTGTAGAGGGCGCGACGGCGGTGTTGCCATGTAAAGTCAGTCACCTAGGGCGTCACAAGGTATGATACTACATCAGGTGTTTTTCTCATATTCATGAGAAGGAGGCAGTATTTTGCAATAAAAATAAAACCGAATAGTTTTGCAAAAGGTTATACCTTCCAAAAATAGAGACAGGGTGTTTTTAAAAAATAATCATGCTCCGTAACTTCTGCCTCTTTGGAGGTTGTAGGGTGGCCAAGTAGGCCAATCACTGGTTCATGAAACTGAAAAACAAGGGTTCGAGTCCCGCTGTGAGTGGCTGGTATGATCATTGTGATCTGGCTTAAATAATATTGTTGAGAGCGGCATAAAACAACATCCAGCTCTTCCCTCAATGGCTGTGTTGTTGTTGTAGGTGGCGTGGACGGATCAATGGTCCACGCTGCTGGCGTTCATGGACACGAGGATTATCGACGATGAACGCATCTCCGTGGACAGACCATACGGCAACGACTGGAACCTCCACATCTCGGGGGTGAAGCTCGATGACCAGGGCATCTACAACTGTCAGATCAACACGAAACCAGTCAAGATACAAACAGTCGTCCTGAATATACTAGGTAAGTGACAGGTTGACGTCATGTAACAGCAGGTTGACGTCATCTAACAACGGGTTGACGTCATGTAACAACAGGTTGACGTCATGTAACAACTGGTTGACGTCATGTAACAACGGGTTGACGTCATGTAACAACGGGTTGACGTCATCTAACAACGGGTTGACGTCATCTAACAACGGGTTGACGTCATGTAACAACAGGTTGACGTCATCTAACAACGGGTTGACGTCATCTAACAGCAGGTTGACGTCATCTAACAACGGGTTGACGTCATGTAACAACAGGTTGACGTCATCTAACAACTGGTTGACGTCATGTAACAACTGGTTGACGTCATCTAACAACAGGTTGACGTCATGTAATAACTGTTTGACGTCATGTAACAACTAGTTGACGTCATGTAACAACAGGTTTAAGACGGCAACAGCTGATGGGTGTAACAATTGATTAAAACGTTGGTTCTACCCGTTTGAATGGGGTCCGGTTATAGTTGATTAAAAAAAGGAGTGGTACCAATGGATTATCTGAGAAGCACATGATAGAGGGCAACGGTATAATTTATTAAAGCAAGAATTGACTGAAGTAATTTAACAGTTGATTCGAGAATGTAATTGATTAGTGTGATGGTTAATTTAAGTAATGTTAACAATTAAAGTCAGTTTATTAAAGTTATGTTAACTGTCAAATCAACAGTAAGAAAATTAAGAATAGTTGATTGAAATATTGGTATCTGTTGGTTTGAGTAAGGGTTGATTAAATTACTTTTTCCAACGATTGATTTCAGAAATGGTTGATTGAAGCAACGGCAAATATTGTTAAAGGGATATATCACTTGATTGTTGTTTGGTATTATTGGAAGAGCCATTACAATAGAAGTAAGATACCAATACCTGTTCAAGGACTGATTCAGAAAACCTCAAATGTAATTTTAATAGTGTAACAGGAGGGGCGGTGGGGCAGCCCAGTGGTTAAAGCGTTGGCTCGTCACGCCAAAGACCCGGGTTTGAATCCCCACATAAGTACAATGTGTGAAGCCCATTTCTGGTGTCCCCCGCCGTGATGTTGCTGGAATATTGCTAAAAGCGGCGTAAAACCAAACTCAGTCAGTCAGTGTAACAGGTAAACAGAGAATGGTAGCATAAATTGATTCTGCTGATAATGACTGATTCAGGTGTGAGATTTTTGTGAGAGGAACATCCAGTGTCTCGACACAGCTGTCAAAACAAACATTTTTCACTTTGAAAGCATCTTTTAAAGCAATCGAGGTTGTGTAAAGATTGTTCTACTTTCAGTTCCTCCGAGGATTCTTGGGGCGCAGTCGGATACTGAGGTTGTGGTCAACGAAGGACTGTCGGTCAGTCTGTCGTGCAACGTGTCCGGAATTCCTCGACCAACGGTCATGTGGTACAAAAAACCCACACAGCCAGGTCAATCGAAAGATAGTGAGTTCTGCCCAGCAACAGCTAGTAAGCGTTTTTACTGTGTCCAGTTCCTGCACGTAGACGTCTAGGCTGTCCTGCACCTTGACCGGATTACCTCCCTTTGACCTTCCTTCTGACCATTCGGAACACTTCGGGATGTTCCGATCCGAATTTGTTCCAAGTGTTCTGATTGGTTGTTGAACCGACTTCCGCTACTGCTTCATGTATCAACTGGTTTGATTGGATTGGATATAACGTTGTCTTTTTCGTTGGCGGTCGAATTCTTTACTCTACGCCTGTTAATGTGCATATCCTTTGCTTTACTTGTCAGCCGGATATAGACGGTAGAGAAGGTCACACTTGTGCGGACAGTTGTTTAAATATCAATGCATATGGACATATGCTGTTTCAGACACAGGGGCGTGTCACGCTCAGAAACAGCGTTAGAAAGACATACAGGTATATAGACCCTACCCTAGTACTATATAAAAGGAAAGGGATGTAACGACGGAACCACCCCCTCCTCAATCTAAGTTAGATTTCACCACGTAAACTATTTTTAAGGCCCCGTCGAGGCCTACGGATCAAAAGCAAGATGATTGCCCTACAAAATGAGCTATAAATGGTCACAATCGGATCATTATTTCAAAAGTTATACGCCACGACTCACCGAAAACAGCTACCTCTGCAATTCCAAGCCAAAATCATGGATCACCCAAGACAGCGAAAACTCACCTATTAAATTCGTTTATTAATTCCAGCCACGTTGCCAGCACCTATGTAGGGCTAGATTCGATCGGCAGCGCCATTCCACGGGTCTAAAAACTTATTGCAACATCTACAAATCATTTCCTCGACAGTAAGTAGGCATTTTCTCCAAAGCCATCGTATATAGTACTAGGGTAGGGTCTGTATACCTATATGTCTTTCTAACGCTGTTTCTAAGCGTGACACGCCCCTGTGGTTTCAGACAGACCACGAAGAAACGTCAAAATCAGCAATGTAGAAATATCTATAGTATTACAGACTTTTCTCGGCAATTGGAGACTGGTTCTGATTTGTTCAGAAGGGACATAACACCTATCACAATCTCACTAACTGGACCTGTCTAAACCGGACGAAAAGTCCGGTTTAGACAGGCCCTACTTTATCATAATACATACTATACTACCAGACTCTAATTATTTAGTCTTCAGACTAGACTCTAATTATATAATCTTCAGACTAGACTCTAATTTAGTCTTCAGACTAGTAGCGCACATGTTGAACTAATAATACTACATATATTGTTTTGGGACAAGGAATTTACCGCACGGTGTCGTGAGACAAGAGCAGATAACTCCTAAATACCCTGTAGACAAGGACAGATAACTCCTTATTATCTTCCTTTCGTTCTGTATAACCACTCAGTTTTCTTCATTCTGTTCACATTATGTTGCAATCGTGCCTCAGTTATCTTACAGAGAACCTCCTGGCATAATATCTGCATCCCCTGCTTAGATTCATGTAGAATATTGTGTTTGGTGTAATTGAGAAATAACCAGTCAATGTCTTCTTTGGCCTTGTGATTGTGTTCAACTGGGTGCCTGTTCCCAGCAAAGCGCCATGGCGGCCGCGCATTCTCACGCAACCAGTTGTGAATGCACATATATATTCATCTGTCTAAAGTTCATAATATTTTAGCTGCATGTGTAAAAATACATCGTTTATGACAAAGGTATCTGAAGTGCGCTTAACAATATTTTAAGAAAATTTCCCTTCTTCGGGGTGTATCGTAATCTCTGTCCCAATATACACATCGCCTTTAAATCTGTAGCACCCTACGCCCCTATAGCAATCAACCAGAAGAAGACCAAGGTGGCTTGTAATTAACGTCAGTACCATCACCTTTAAAATTACACGTTAATCCGCATCTCATTCACGCTCCAGCACACTCCCCCTGCCCTCCCGTACGGCCCTGGGGGTGTTGGCATAGCCTAGTGGTTAAAGCGTTCGCTCGTCACGCCGAAGACTCGGGTTCGATTCCCCACATGTGTACAATGTGTGAAGCCCATTTCTGGTGTCCCCCGCCGTGATATTGCTGGAACATTGCTAAAAGCGGCGTAAAACTAAATTCACTCACTCACTCACATACTGAGTGAACGTACTGCTAGTGATCACTTGGCTCGATCACCGAGCCCGATTGATCCACGCCGCCGTCATGACGGGAATGTTGCTTGGTGCGGCGTTAAACAACATGCAGGCAGGATAACACATGCCACACGGCTGTACTTAAAGTTACTATCAAATCACCGGGTGTTCATGACAAACCTACACAAATAACAGGACAAACTGGGATTCGAACTCATGACCTAAATTGTGCGTAACGAACTGTGGCGCCATAGACGACTGAGCCAACTGTGCCACCTTTGTATTGGATTAATTGTCGGATATATAAATAGACGCCGTCCACTAGTGTGTTAAAGATGGTCACAGACTTCCTCGCCGTGTATTCAGCGCAGTAATTGGTATACCGTTATACCGTCGTTTACCGTTATACCATTGTCTCTCTGTCCCAGTTGATTTAACTGTGAGTCGTATACATGTAAACATGCATCACACACGGTTATAGTACCAGTCATCCTGAAGGCGGATCTAGTCGCCACAGTGCTAGGTATACCATTATGCACACCGTTATACTGTTATGTACTATTATGCCAATGTGTACCGTTATACCACCAACCCGTTATGTACACCGTTATACTGTTATGTACTATTATACCAATATGTGCCGTTATACCATCAAACCGTTATGTACACCATTATGTACCGCTTTACCGTTATGCACCATTTCACCGTTATACCCTTATGTAGCGTTGGACTGTTTTTCCATACTCACAACAAACGTGTTCGATTTCGTTTGTTGCACAAACATCGCATACGCGGGTCGGTGTCAAATGTGATATGTTTTGTCCACAGGGATCGGTTTCTCTGGAGAGGTGCTGATGATCCACAATGTCACACGCCATTGCGGAGGCAAGTACGAGTGCGTGGCCGACAACGGTGTACCTCCAGCTGTCAAACGTCAGATCAACGTGGGGGTCAAATGTAAGTACCATCATCATCATCATCATCATCATCATCATCATCATCATTATCATCATCATCTGTAGGGGAAGGTGGTAATGTGTCTGTTAAACGTCTATAGCCAGATGGGCGTTTTGGTCTGTATTCTCCCCAGGGAGCTAGCTGATAATGAAAATAGAGAGAGCTCAGATCCGACGGGTAAGGTATAGCTTGAATGAAGCGCCTTCCATCTGTTCGGAAACCTAGTGCGCTATACAAACCCATGATGTGGTGATCCCCGTGGTAGATTCAAGCCATCTCATTGGTCTGTTGGCTCCGGTAGACGGGCTACAAATAGGCCTACATAACGTCGACCCGAAGCTTCAGTTCTTCAGTCAGGCAGAGCAAGTTTGGCATAATCCGTTTGCGTATTATTGCAAGCCCGTTTTCATTAATTACGTGATTATGGAAAACAAATACACAATGTGTTCACGAGCTCTTTCTTTGTCGAATCACTGGCTCTCGTCTGTGTGAAGCCTTCCCTGTCTAGACCGGATTAGAATTGCTGTCTTCAGTAACCCATGCGTGTCGTAAGAGGCGAATAACGGGATCGGGTGGTCAGAGTCTCTGACTTGTTCTCAACATGTCATCGTACAGATTCCTTACTGCGTAGATCGATGCTCATGATGTCAATCACTAGATTGTCTGATCCAGACTGGATTATTTACAGACCGCCTCCATATAGTTGGTTAATTATTGTGTGCGGCGTTAACAAACAAATAAACAACAAACAAATAAACAAACAAACAAACAAACCACCGCGACTCCAGCTGTCTGACGTGACAAGTTGGGCATACACTTGGTCGAGCCAGAGACCGTCTAATCAGATTGTTATCTGTTGGTGGACAAGCATATTCCGCACTAACATTCACTCTACTCTTCTCGTGACAAGCGTAACAACCTACAACGCCAGGCAGAATGTTGGCAATGCAAGTTGTCACATTACGTTTTATCATTCAGAATCTTTCGCCTCACGCATGTTTCCGTAACGAGAATTCTCGGAATGAGACGATTTCGTCACCTCTCGCCCCTCACCGTTACCTCCAAGGAGATACGGCTTGTCCCGAAATCAGACGAGATGGTCACGAATGATGGGCTCAGTCTTGCCACGGTCAAAGGGAGATAACCATTCTGTCTGGGAAGATTTGTATATCTTTGAAAACAGAACGCGACTAGATGATATAAATCCAGTTTAACGAGCACAACTAGTAAATGATATTTTCAGGGGTGAATGTTTCGTAAAATATACGGGTGTTGAATTCTTATATAATCAACGTCAGTGACATTAGTTTGTAGAAGAACGCGATTAGATGATATAAATCCAGTTTAGCCCGTATGAAAATTGACATTTCAGACGGATTTTACTGAGCTGAGATTAGTCCAAAGTCCAAAGCGACGTATTTGGAACAGACCATGGCTTTATGTAAAGTAGTGAGCGAGCACATTGTATTACAAGGGACACTTTTTATATACCCATTTTGAAATTAGACTTAGCTTCATTATAAACGGTAGCTGACGTAAAAAATAATAACTTTAATACTGAAACTATTGAGGATGTAGCTACCATGGAGTCTCACCATCACTATAAAAACAAACAGGTAGGAGGGGTCGTCTCAAAAACAAAATCAGGACGGGTTGTCGCAGACGGTGCTTGGAGTCGGGCTGGGGGATAAATATATCGGCTAAGATAAGACTATCCTTTAGGGGAATTAAACTTGGGAAGTAAACGGCATGTCATAACAATTTACAAATAATATCCAGTCCTGTCGATGTTCAAGTGGTCATGCCACTTTATAATTGTATACCAGTCTATGTTTGCTATTTTCGTTGACACGTGTACTGCAGAAAGCCGTGCCATTTTTAAACAACATCACCAATGTCTGCGATGCTTTTCCGTTCCAGTCCCGCCAGAGATTCATATTCATAACAAAAGAATTGGTCAAGTTCGTGGCAAGGACACAATCCTGGAGTGTGTTGTGACCGCACACCCCCAGGGCGTGAGTGTGTGGAAGTTTGAGAACAGACAGTTACCTAAAGCCCTCCAGAAGTACCGAGTCGAGGTGTTCGAAGAAGGGAGCCACACCATTACCCTAAGTCTCCGGATCAGTAAACTAAATGAGCATGATTACGGGGAATACACGTGTGTTGCTTCTAATTCCATGGGCAGCGATTCTAAAAGAACGCTTCTCTACGGTAAGTTCTACTTGTTAGACTATGATAATCTGTTGGGGTAGCCTAGTGGTTAAAGCGTTCGCTTGTCATGCTTGAAAACCCGGATTCGATTAACCACATGGGTACAATGAGTAGTCCATATCTGATGTCCCCCGCCGTGATATTGCTGGAATATTGCTAATAGCGGCTTAAAGGTATACTCACCCACTATAAGGTCTTATTAGCAAGGTGGCGGTGGGGTAGTCTAGTGGTTAAAGCGTTGGCTCGTCACGCCGAAGACCTGGGTTCGAATCCCCACATGGGTAAAATGAGTGAAGCCCATTTCTGGTGTCCCCCGCCGTGATATTGCTGGAATATTGCTAAAAGCGGCGTAAAACCAAACTCAGTCAGTCAGTCTTATTAGTAAGACCCGTGAAGATCCGGGTTAGAATTGATCTTCAGTAACCCATGCTTGTCGTAAGAGGTGACCAACGGGATCGGGTGGTCAGGCTGGCTGACTTGTTTGGCACATGTCATCGGTTCCAGTGCCGTCCCCATGCTCATTCTGTCGATCACTGGATTGTCTGGTCTAGACTCGATTCTTAACAGACCGCTGCCATATAGCTGAAATATTGCTGGGTGCGGCGTAAAACCAAACTCACTCACCCACTCTTGTCAGCCCTCACTGAAGCTGTATAGGGGTATTACTGAAACACCTGAACCATGTATGTAATTATTGGTTCTGTGCTCTTGTCCTGTACATTTTCTGTCGTCGCTGTCCGGTAATCTTAGGGCTAATTTCGCACTGTACCTGGCTGAACTGATAATTTCACGATCAGTGCTCATGTGTCAGTTATTGTATGGGCTACGACCTCCTAAATTTGGAGGCTTTTGTGAAACGCGGTCCTGGCCAGCGTTTCACAAAAGCCTCCTAAATTTAGGAGGTCGTAGTCCATACGACCTTATTTACGACCCTCTTCCGACCTCCTTTACGACCGTTTCACAAAGACGTCGTATCCTTGTCGTACGACGGGGTCCTAAATCCATGTCGCACATTGGTTTAAGAGGTACTTTGTTGCATAGCAACGCATAAAGAGAGACCGAACGGGCACCTGCTTATCTTGTTATTCCCAAAGTATTACAGTTTGAATAGCAATGCAAACTTACGTTTATAATTGAAAAAAAAAATCTATCAATGAATTATTTTGGAGTCTCTGGCTAAATTCCATTGAAAATTAGAAGATAAAAAATTAAAAGATAAAAATAAAATAAAAAATTTCGGATTCGAACTACCGATAGCTGCGAGAGAAAAACAACACAACTATCATCGATGTTACCCCCTGGGTGCCAGAGGGACATATATGTCCTTCCTCTTCAACCCTCATTTTGAAGTCCATTAAATTCTAAATATATCACGCACACATATATACTTCACAGGTTTGAATTCTGTGGGAAATTCACTGTTTCTTGATACCACTGTTATCTCAAACGGAGCTAAATTTTCTCTGCAGAGCATATAATACCTACGAAACCACCTACTACAACTACCACGACAACGAGAGCCACAACAACGTCGTTGCGCCCCACACAAGGGAAGACAGACCAGATACCTGGCTACGATTACCCGTCAGAGAACGGCCCACCCGAGTACATACCCAGACCAACATTAAAAAAGGTCCATCCGTTACTACCGGGTAAGAAACTTGGTCTTCACATTCCACTCTTTTTGCTCACTTTTAAATGTTGATAAATACATTAAACCTCTTAAAATAATATAACGGGGCTTTGTGGTAGCCTAGTGGTTGAAGCTTTCGCTCGTCACGCCGACGACCCGGGTTCGATTCCCCTCATGGGTAAATGGGTTACCCCATTTGTGTGTCCCCCGCCGTGATATTGCTGGAATATTGCAAACAGAAGGCACAAGAAATTATTCAGTCAGTTTGATGAAAAGATATATTAATTTTGTATTGATCATAAAGACAAAATGTGTTCAGTTATCCATATTAATAGGGCGGTGGGGTAGCCTAGTGGTTAAAGCGTTCGCTCGTCACGCCTAAGACCCGGGTTCGATTCCCTACATGGGTACCATATGTGAAGTGCATTTCTGGTGTCTCCCGCCATGATATTGCTACAGTTTTTATACAAAGCGGCGTAAAACCCGACTCACTCACTCACTCTCACCATATCACTATATTTTTATCTGCAGTGATCATTTTTTTTTTCGCAGGTGGGAAGAATGACCCGATAGTCGTCGGCTCAGCCGGAAGTAAAGGGCCAGAATCCGGAGCCAGGAAAAATTCAGTTTTCAGCACAGTTTTGCTAATGTGTATATTTTCTCTGTTAAATCCCCTTTAAAAGTTCTGGAATCACAGTTACTTGTACATAATAGTACGAATATAAGAAGGATAAATGTACACCTGTTTTTACAAAAATGTGCAATATGATTCATATTAAGTCCAGTAAGTAATATGCTTATTTTACAGTTGTACTGTGAGACTAAAACATAATAATAAACATCATAATTTTTCACCTCGACGTACAGGTCCAAATATTTGCAACATTCCGCGTTTTCAGTATTCTGGTGCACAAAGGAAAGGAAAGAAGCGCACGTAAAATGACCACGACGTTGCGTACGATGGTGCGGTTGGCAGTTTCTCGTAGTCGGGGTGACGTCAGTGATAACTGGTCGTGTTTGTGTTGAAGGTGTCGCTACAGACGCTGATGCTTTAAGCAATATATTTAATGTATTTCTTCGTGTTGTGAGAGACGGATACAGGATACTATTTGCCTGAATCTATGTGTCCTTGAGATCGTGGTATCCGTTGATAGGCAAGTCATGCTTTGTGCTCGATTAAAAATAGTCTATATTCTTTCGATTGTGTTCGAAGCCAGGTTAAGATCGAAAGATCATTTTTTCAAACCCTAGCAGATAATGGTAATTGGATTATCAGGTTTACGCATGCGTGAATCCCCCCCGAATAGGCGAACTTTGAACGTGTATCGTCATATCGGGGAAGCCATACAAACAGTTTAACATAATAAACTTTTTTGAAATTTATACTTTTTAAAAGTGATCACCGCACTGAATTATCTAACAATAGCTTAGCAGAGTTGCATCCCTTGATCCTTCAAGGATCCGCTGCTTGTGGGTTCAATTCTTTGTGGATGATCCCTAATTTATCGGTACATATCCAGTTCTTTGTGTAACTGAACACAAAGTTGTGAAAAAAAATCGCGAAATCAGAGATCGCGCCAACTTTAGTCCAATCTCATCATGTATTTAAAGAAATGAGCACGTTTCTTATTGGACTTCTATTTGTTTGCATTCTAAGATGTATATTTCTTCTGCACACAACATACAACTTGTCTAATTCAGTGTCTTGGTTTGACATGTTTTTCAGGAACATGTATGATACGACAAGCGTGTCACTTATAAAGAGTCAATTCTGGGAGAGCACTTTACATATCTTACTTGTTGTCTTGTAATCTCAACACGTGCGTGTGTTAAACACAGAGTTCCATTGTGAACATGTGGGGTGGGGTGGGGGGAGTGTAATGGAACATAACATAGGAAAGTCCAACGCGGTGTGTCTACAGATTTCTTTTAGTTAGAACTAGGCAGTGTTTGTTGAAATGACAGTTCTGCCAACCTACAATCGGATATGTTATCATTTCCACTTACACCCGATCGAGGCTTGTGCATGGTGGACTTTGGCGGAGCTACTGGTCTTTGATATCGTGGGGTGGGGTGGGTGGGGGTGTTTTAGCCTAATGCAGGGCCCGCACAGGCCTGGATAACTCATGGAATTTCGGGCTTTCTGGAAAAGTCATGGAAAATTGAAATAAATGTCGTATTCATGGACAAAGCATGGAATATTTATATATTGACCGGTAAATATTGACTAAGTGGTTAAAGCATTCGCTCGTCACCGAAGACCCGGGTTCGATTCCTCACATGGGTACAATGTGTGAAGCCCATTTCTGGTGTTCCTCCGCCGTGATAATGCTGGAATATTGCGTAAAGCCATACTCACTCACTCACTCACTGGTTATCGTAGATCATTGAGGGTGAAGATAGATTTCAGTGTTGGATGTGGGTAAAATGGGCGGAATGACGTTAGTAGGCTGTCAATCGTTTAGACCTTATTAGATTATTGCAACGGGCTGCTTGTAGGTCTTAACATAGCTCAGCATAAAAGACTGCAGAAAGTACAGAATACGGCCTCCCGCATAATTTCGTTACAGTCAAAATCATGTCGCATTACTCCAGTCCTCAAATCACTTCATTGGCTTCCAATTGAATAACGTATCAACTTTAAAGTTCTCTGTACTGTCTACAAATGCCTCCACAACCAAGCCCCATCCTATCTCACTGACTTGATCGCTGTATACACACCAGCCAAAACTCTTCGATCTCAGAACCAGCTCCTACTTACTGTACCAACTTTCCGACTTTCCTCATTTGGTAAACGATCGTTCTTTCATGCAGCCCCAAGACTATGGAATTCATTGCCAGTCCACTTCAAAGACTCTGATTCTCTGACAGCTTTCAAATCACAACTTAAGAAATACCTTTTCTCCTCTGTATATAACTGACTCTCTCCCTCTTCCCCCTGCGCTTTGAGCATGCACTAGTGTGTTGATTATAGCGCATAACAAATGTCCATTATTATTATTATTTTATTTAGACCTTCGTAAGTTTGGCTTTAGTTTCGATAGCCTGGTATTCCGACCATCGGAGATAGTATGTTTGAAGTCATGGCCATGGCTGCCGTTATCAGCTTTTGACTTTGCACCACCTTATCATCTTGTCACTTTCGTGTTAAATAAACACCATTGTATCTATTTTCGTCTCGGCAAAGTCAATGCTGCAGAGAATCACGATTATTGTGGTCACCATGGTAACTACCATGACTTGTGGATTTCAACTTATTTTAGTCTCAGTGCTGTCTGTCAGAGCAGCAGCAAGTACCATTACCACGTGACCCAAAACTGAACAGCATTTTTAAAGAATCACGTGTATTGAGAGCACAGCAAAAACAACAAACAAACAAGTGCCGAACCCTGCCACAGACTGTAACAACAGGGTGAGGTAGTAGCTTTTGATTAGGTCGATGACGCGAAACGACCTTGATCTCGGTTCATTATCAGTTTCCATGGTTCAATGTTGATTGCGCCTACATGTGAGTTTTCTGGTGATGTGTGTAAAGTTTCAGGCAAGAACGACGGTACCAAATTTTGAGGCTGGGTGTGATCACATGGGGGTTTAAGTTTTGTTTGCGATATCCATGGTAACCTGCTAGCTGTGCGGTATGTTACACAGTGAGTTGATAACGGTAGGCGCGAAGACGTATCTGAGTACAAGTACTGATCACCAGCCCTCTTGCTCTAGAAGGACTCAGAAGATCTCGAACGAGGTATTCTGTTCCCAAGTAGCACGAATACAATCCAGACAACAACTTAGTGATACAGTCTCACAATATTGATTAAGATCCAGATCATCCGTTTGTAAAACCTTTATTCGTAACCTTCAAATCAGACGAACAGACCAAAACATGACGAACGCCTACAAGATTGAATGAGTTAAATGATAAGTTTTGTCACAATTGAATGTTTGTTGCACAAGTATAAGCACATTACTTTAATATTGATGAAAATATATGTGCCGATATTTGAATTTGCATATGTGACTATTTGATTTATAATGATAGCTACTCCTCAACCTTCTGATTGTGTTCAAATGATGAATTTGATACTCACTTTTAGCAGTGGTCACTCGTGAACCCCGCCTTCCAAATACGTTTCATTCAAAGATGTTCTTTCGCGTCTCGAAGTCATTTGTTTATACAATCCCCTCTACTGACTCAGTTTTCAGCCTTGTTCGTTCCACAGAGCGGTGTTATTAATACGTATGTGTTAAGTGTATAATTTAAGGGTTATCCATGAGGTATAACGGACTAATTTCGTCACCACTGTTCTTTTTGTCTGTCGTATGTAGGGTGTTCCAAGACCATAGTACACGGATACCCACGGGTGACTGAAGCCTACATTTTTTTGTATATCTCTAGGTTTATATATCTATGTGAAACATATACCCTTCTTGGTGTTGAGAGTATCGCGCGTCTTTTTAGACGTATTATAATTCCACCATCTGCAGGGAAATGGGATATCGTCGTTTAACGTGGGAGTAGAGTGTGGGCGAGATTTCAACACATTTGCTGCCCTTGGTGGTCAATAGGACATAAAACTCCCTTTAACATGTGCTCAATTGTCAGAAATGATCTTGGTGCTTCGAAGCAGAGACTCCTGCGATAAGAACTAGCAATTAGTTCGAGATCCTGACACAGAAGAACATTGACTCGTTTAATCAAATTATTGCAAATGAATTTTCCTGATATGACTTTATGATTGTGGTAGATGTATAGTGATGCTGTACAAAGGCGACCTGTATATATGATATTCAATTACAATTCTATATTGATGTTTCTGTAAACTTACACTGAACCTCGTTAATCCGGACTGTTCAGTTCAAACCACTCGGAATACAATTTAGGATCATGGATCATGGATTCTGATCTCCTTTGTACATATTGTCGCTGTCTGTATTAATCCTCTAAACGAAAGTCGGGACGTCCGGATTAGCCAGGTTCTGATGTGTATGTTTCAGAGTGTTTAAAGATTTCTGGCTTTAATATTCAGAGTATAGTCTTCAACGTGTACAATGTTTAGTTTTTAGCTACGAATAAAAGGTGTCTGTATGTTCCACAAGTGGTATAGATTTGTATCCGTCACTCGTATTATATCTGGTTACTATCGTTCATGTAAAATAGACCTGTTTTCTTAATCTTAGAGATTCTATGTACATTGTTTATTTTGGTATTTGTCGATTACTTAATATGGCGAACATGATGTTGTAAAAATCAGGAAGAACTTTGCCAAATTGATCAATTTCAGCTTGCATTTCAATGTACATGTTATTCACTCATCGATCGTATTGTAAATAAATGCATTTATCGTTTGTTATGGATTTTGTGTTCTGGAAAACTTCCGTCATTATTTCAGAGAAGTACAGCCATATTATATCATGGATTTGGTGTTTTACGCCGCAGTCAGCTGAAATTTGGTTACATCAGGGAGGTCGGACCAGGCCAACACAAGCAGCCGAACTAAGATATCAGTTGATAACAAATGAAGTTGAGCAAAATGATCAATAGATAACACATGCAGTTGAGTTAAAGTATCAATAGATAACACATGTGGCTGAGTTAAAGTATCAATAGATAACACATGCGGCTGAGTTAAAGTATCAATAGATAACACATGCAGTCGAGTTAAAGTATCAATAGTTAACACATGCGGCTGAGTTAAAGTATCAATAGATAACACATGTGGCTGAGTTAAAGTATCAATAGATAACACATGCGGTCGAGTTAAAGTATCAATAGATAACACATGCGGCTGAGTTAAAGTATCAATAGATAACACATGCGGTCGAGTTAAAGTATCAATAGATAACACATGCGGCTGAGTTAAAGTATCAATAGATAACACATGCAGATGAGTTAAAGTATCAGTGTAAAGCACATGCAGATGAGTAAAAGTATCAATAGATAACACATGCGGCTGAGTTAAAGTATCAATAGATAACACATGCAGATGAGTTAAAGTATCAGTGGAAAACACATGCGGTTGAGTTAAAGTATCAATAGATAACACATGCAGTTGAGTTAAAGTATCAATAGATAACACATGCGGCTGGGTTGAAGTATCAATAGATAACACATGCAGTTGAGTAAGAGTATCGATAGATAACACATGCAGATGAGTTAAAGTATCAATTGATAACACATGAGGCTGAGTTCAAGTTTCAATAGATAACACATGCAGTTGAGTAAGAATATCGATAGATAACACATGCAGATGAGTTAAAGTATCAATTAATAACACATGCGGCTGAGTTAAAGTATCAATAGATGACATGCAGATGAGATAAAGTATCAATAGATAACACATGCAGATGAGAAAAAGTATCAATAGATAACACATGCAGTCGAGTTAAAGTATCAATAGATAACACATGCATATGAGTTAAAGTATCAATAGATAACACATGCGGCTGAGTTAAAGTATCAATAGATAACACATGCAGCTGAGTTAAAGTATCAATAGATAACACATGCAGATGAGTTAAAGTATCAATAGATAACACATGCGGCTGAGTTAAAGTATCAATAGATAACACATGCAGATGAGTTAAAGTATCAGTGGAAAACACATGCAGTTGAGTTAAAGTATCAATAGATAACACATGCAGTCGAGTTAAAGCATCAATAGATAACACATGCAGTTGAGTTAAAGTATCAATAGATAGCACATGCGGTTGAGTTAAAGTATCAATAGATAACACATGCAGTTGAGTTAAAGTATCAATAGATAACACATGCGGCTGGGTTGAAGTATCAATAGATAACACATGCAGTTGAGTAAGAGTATCGATAGATAACACATGCAGATGAGTTAAAGTATCAATTGATAACACATGAGGCTGAGTTCAAGTTTCAATAGATAACACATGCAGTTGAGTAAGAGTATCGATAGATAACACATGCAGATGAGTTAAAGTATCAATTAATAACACATGCGGCTGAGTTAAAGTATCAATAGATAACATGCAGATGAGATAAAGTATCAATAGATAACACATGCAGATGAGAAAAAGTATCAATAGATAACACATGCAGGTGAGTTAAAGTATCAATAGATAACACATGCAGTTGAGTTAAAGTATCAATAGATAACACATGCATATGAGTTAAAGTATCAATAGATAACACATGTGGCTGAGTTGAAGTATCAATAGATAACACGTGCAGATGAGTTAAAGTATCAATAGATAACATGCAGCTGATTTAAAGTATCAATAGATAACACATGCAGCTGTGCATAGGAAAACAAAACATAGACAACTATGATGCTCGTTCAGTAAGAAAACAGAAATTACAATAGAAAAAGAAATATTAAAACGATTTAAAAGCGATACATACATTTGGTTCATGTATCCTGAACAACATTAGAAACGCACCGCACTAAATTAAACCGACGATGCTCAGATATCATGGGTACATTTCATTCTGACGGGGATATTTCGTATTATATGGGTGGTGCGTTTCTAATGTTGTTCAGTATATTCTACCTGATGCTTTTGCCTTATACATTCCTGCTGCAGTCACGTACCCCAGTATTGCCAATAAATGGGACCATATAGGATCTTGGAGCCTAATATTGCAACAAGGAAAAATGTATCACTTGTTTTCTGACGTCAGAGAAACTGGCCAATACGATGATCGCTTTAGTACTGTTGTGATTATGGCATGTCTACCAGCCTGTAAAACGGAGTTATGTCCCTTATATCTAATGACGTCATTACGTGCACGCAACGCCTCGCCCCATGGGTAAAGATTCAGGAGAAATTTTTCTACCTTTTTTACATGGCGGATGCAACTAAAGCAAGAGATGGAACTCAAACAGCACACTATAGAGACAGCAAAGTAGCTGTGTTGTTCTTTTCAAATCAGAAAAACAATTCTCCGCTGATCGAGAAGGAAGTTTCATCCTCAATTTTTGTGTTTGTCAGAAACGTTACAAGTACATTCGTGACTAGAGGAGATAGACGTGAAAAACGTCAAACTCATTTCGGAGACGTATCATTTTAGTTAAGAAATACAGTTCGCTCTACCACCATGTATAGTGTAATAAAGCACACTTTCGCCCTGAACTATTATAGTTAAAGTACGAGAAGTCATTTGGGAAATGACTTCAAATGAGACACTTCAAGGAGAAAAAAGCTATTGCAATAGTATTGCAATAGTTGGTTGCAATAGACTATCACTATCGCAATAGTTGTTTCCCCCTCAATAATCACCACGACTGCCTTGTGACCTTCACATCTGAAAACGCCACAGCAATGTAGTAACCATGGTAACACAATTTGCAAAACAATTTTAATAATCGGCGTTTCGACGATTTTGGGTGAGTCATTGAAACATATCCAAGACTGAATTTTCACTTCACAAAACAATACCACACGTTGTCACAGTATACTTGGAAACCTCTGAAGTGTCTGATACTGTGTGTGGTTGTTTCTGCAGATTTCCAGTCTACGTAAATGGCTACTGTGAAATACACAAGAGCGGTACATATGCTGATATAAAACCATAGTGAGTGAGTGAGTTTAGTTTTACGCCGCACTCGGCATTATTCCAGCTATATGGCGGCCATATAGAACCATAACAAAGTAAGTGAGTGAGTATGATTTTACGCCGCTTTTAGCAACATTTTAGCAATATCACAAAGATATAAATACAAGATTCCACTCACGGTGTTTCCATTAGTTACTCAAGAGTGGTTTTATGTTCCACCAATATTCCATCTCAATGACGTCAGACTGTACATAATCGTCCATGGGCCTGGCAAACAAGTGAGTGAAAGCATGAGCACATACCTAATTTAACCAGATGTGATGGCACCAGGCAGGTTACTGATGAATAATGTGATCCCAGAACCTACACGGGTCCGACGCGTTAGAACAAACGTTTTAGCAGAGTCACAACATCCCCGCAGAACAACAACGCAACAACTGTTGACAACATAGCTATGCCTACATAACCAACGTTCTGTGCAGTTGGCCTGTGATCTTGGGCGCTGGTTTTGCTTCTGATATAAGACGACAGACGCTGATGGGAGAGACTCAGGTTCTTCTTCGTCGCCATCAGCATCTGCTGGAACTCCATGCTTGTCACGTTCAGGGACATCAACATCCTCTGTGCACAGTGACACCGCCGATGCTGGGAACGTTTCGTCGTTTTCAGCACCCCAGTAGTGGGTATTACTTGGGTTGTGGGGGCCGTACTCGGTCCTGCCAAAGAAAGAGAAATGATTGATTCAGTTTGTATGTTGTTTTACGCCGCACTCGGCAGTTTTCCAACGAACGAGCGGCAGTCTGCAAATAATCGAGTCCGGACCAGCCAATCAAGTGACCGACATCATGAGCATCGAACTTCACAATAAAGAAACGATGACAACCAAGTCAGGGAAACTGCGCTTCCAACCCCATCAGACGCCTCTTACGACAAGCGTAACAATATTTCAAGATATTGCTTCGTAGCTCAATTGTGGAAGGGAAGCCACCAGTTCCAGTACGTATGGTCACTGAGCACTGTATGATGTTTAAAACTAATGTTGACGATCGGGATTCGAACCCAAGAGCAGCTGATCCTACTATAAATAGGGGATACAACGTTTGTGGTTAGGTTTCAGTTACGACACAGGTGTGTTGCAAATAATTACTAGGTAGGCTCGGAGTTGATTGCAATCTTGAATAAAATTATTTAAACCATCGAGAATATTCCAGTCTTATAACAAAATATCTGAAAACGTTTTGACGTTTGAAGTGCCCAGCGTAAGCCATTATTATCTCACATGACATTAAGACCGGCAAGTGAAGATCACTTTTCACCCTGGATCCCCAGCCTAAGCCTATTTTGGAAGCATGGGCACTGCTGTTACTGGGTAATGTTTCCACTTTATTGCCATGACAACTGCTATTTTAGCCATTTTATGCTGCCATTGACTGGTAGTGAGTGAGTGAGTGAGTTTGGTTTTACGCCGCTTTTAGCAATATTCCAGCAATATCACGGCGGGGGACACCAGAAATGAGCTTCACACAATGTACCCATGTGGGGATTCCAACCCGGGTCTTCGGCGTGACGAGCGAACGCTTTAACCACTAGGCTACCCCACCGCCCCCCATTGACTGATAACAACCGCTGTATCAAGCATAGAAAATACATTGCAGTAATTTGTATGAATTTGTACACCGTCTGTGTTTAGAATACAATTATTACTTGTAAAGCAATTGTTTGTTCTTTTTACTATTACACTCAATTACGTACAGATGTCTGGGTTAAGTAATCATTTCAATTTGAAAAGGCCATCCAACTATAATCGTCACGTTACGTCACTGGCCACATCTTATTACTCAGTGTGGACGAACAGATGGCATACCTGTTTCGGATGATACTGACGAGGTGGTGATTGATCCGATATTAGGAGAGGTTACCAACTCCAGTTCATATGCTGTCCCGCTGGAAGTGACAAGACGGCTTAGATTATCTGAGGTGGTCGACTGGCTAGAAAACCAAAGGCTCGGGGCGTTATACGGCGAATAGGAAACATTCAGGAAGAGAGCAGCTGGATGAGACAAAGATGCGGTAGAGTCTGGACTCTGTGTAGCATCAGCTGCAGGAGTTCCATCTGCTGGCGGCGATGCTGTTGACGATGATGGTGCTGTACCAGAGGATTCAAGGCTTTCATGAGTAGATAGCGCAAATCTTGAAGAAATGGCAGTTGAACCTATTGGTGTTGCAGATTCTGCTCCTGAGTCAGAATTAACTGGTGAGGATGTTGATGGTGACACAGAAGATGAATCAACCGCTGAAGTTGTGTCCAGAACAGCGCTCGAGAATACAAGGACGTCGCTTGCAGAAACAGCCGATGATGATGAAGAGGATGTAGTCGGTGACGTCGCCTCGGTAGTAGTAATCTCGATTGTGTCTGAAGTTGTAAGACTGGCATCAGCAGCAGAAGAAGATAAGGAGGAAGGCCATGGTGTTGCCGTATCCATGGCAATCGCCTGACCTGTGTCAAGGCTGCTTTCAGGATGTACAACGACGAAAGATGAATCGTCAGCTGCAGTTGTATACGTCAAAGGGTCTGTTCCTGAATCTGTAACGGACGTTGACGAAGATGTTGACAAAGACATTGACGAAGCAGCAGAAGACAATGTTGACGCAGCAAGGCTTTCCGTCTCAGTAAGTGGAGATGCTGCAGTTACAGATGTCGTTGTAGTATCTAGAATATAGCATGATGACACAGTAAACTACCATATACCACACATTTTATTTTGTTATACCTGTAGATCGTTAGGCGCATTTCTATTAAAACATACATCAAAAGATCATTGCCCCCAAACAGTTAGTTATGCTCGTTAGTTCGTCGTAAGTGTGTTCGTTAATAAATACAGATGTCCTCAGAGAGAAAACAATAAAATATTAAGTATATTAATTAACACATTAATATATTGAGATATTGCTTCGTAGCTCAATTGTGGAAGGGAAGCCACCAGTTCCAGTACGTATGGTCACTGAGCACTGTATGATGTTTAAAACTAATGTTGACGATCGGGATTCGAACCCAAGAGCAGCTGATCCTGCCATAAATAGGGTATACAACGTTTGTGGTTAGGTTTCAGTTACGACACAGGTGTGTTGCAAATAATTACTAGGTAGGCTCGGAGTTGATTGCAATCTTGAATATGTATAATTAAACCATCGAGAATATTCCAGTCTTATAACAAAATATCTGAAAACGTTTTGACGTATGAAGTGCCCAGCGTAAGCTATAATGATCTCACATGACATTAAGACCGGCAAGTGAAGATCACTTTTCACCCGTGAAGATCACTTTTCAGCCTAAGCCTATTTTGGAAGCATGGGCACTGCTGTTCCTGGGCAATGCTTCCACTTTATTGCCATGACAACTGCTATTTTAGCCATTTTATGCTGCCATTGACTGGTAGTGAGTGAGTGAGTGAGTTTGGTTTTACGCCGCTTTTAGCAATATTCCAGCAATATCACGGCGGGGGACACCAGAAATGAGCTTCACACAATGTACCCATGTGGGGATTCCAACCCGGGTCTTCGGCGTGACGAGCGAACGCTTTAACCACTAGGCTACCCCACCGCCCCCCATTGACTGATAACACACGCTGTATCAAGCATAGAAAATACATTGCAGTAATTTGTATGAATTTGTACACCGTCTGTGTTTAGAATACAATTATTACTTGTAAAGCAATTGTTTGTTCTTTTTACTATTACACTCAATTACGTACAGATGTCTGGGTTAAGTAATCATTTCAATTTGAAAAGGCCATCCAACTATAATCGTCACGTTACGTCATTGGCCATATCTTATTACTCGTGTGGACGAACAGATGACATACCTGTTTCGGATGATACTGACGAGGGTGTGATTGATCCGATATTAGGAGAGGTTACCAACTCCAGTTCATATGCTGTCCCGCTGGAAATGACAAGACGGCTTAGATTATCTGAGGTGGTCGACTGGCTAGAAAACCAAAGGCTCGGGGCGTTATACGGCGAATAGGAAACATCCAGGAAGAGAGCAGCTGGATGAGACAAAGATGCGGTAGAGTCTGGACTCTGTGTAGCATCAGCTGCAGGAGTTCCATCTGCTGGCGGCGATGCTGTTGACGATGATGGTGCTGTACCAGAGGATTCAAGGCTTTCATGAGTAGATAGCGCATTGGTTGAAGAAATGGCAGTTGAACCTATTGGTGTTGCAGATTCTGCTCCTGAGTCAGAATTAACTGGTGAGGATGTTGATGGTGACACAGAAGATGAATCAACCGCTGAAGTTGTGTCCAGAACAGCGCTCGAGAATACAAGGACGTCGCTTGCAGAAACAGCCGATGATGATGAAGAGGATGTAGTCGGTGACGTCGCCTCGGTAGTAGTAATCTCGATTGTGTCTGAAGTTGTAAGACTGGCATCAGCAGCAGAAGAAGATAAGGAGGAAGGCCATGGTGTTGCCGTATCCATGGCAATCGCCTGACCTGTGTCAAGGCTGCTTTCAGGATGTACAACGACGAAAGATGAATCGTCAGCTGCAGTTGTATACGTCAAAGGGTCTGTTCCTGAATCTGTAACGGACGTTGACGAAGATGTTGACAAAGACATTGACGAAGCAGCAGAAGACAATGTTGACGCAGCAAGGCTTTCCGTCTCAGTAAGTGGAGATGCTGCAGTTACAGATGTCGTTGTAGTATCTAGAATATAGCATGATGACACAGTAAACTACCATATACCACACATTTTATTTTGTTATACCTGTAGATCGTTAGGCGCATTTCTACTAAAACATACATCAAAAGATCATTGCCCCCAAACAGTTAGTTATGCTCGTTAGTTCGTCGTAATTGAGTTCGTTAATAAATACAGATGTCCTCAGAGAGAAAACAATAAAATATTAAGTATATTATTTAACACATTAATATGCTGGTTGTCTTCATGTATAAGTTGTCCAGTGACTTATGTCAAATGCGAGTATTCGGACAATGTCGGATGGGCATTTGGGAGGCCAAGAGGTCAAAGCGTTCAATCAAATTCGATAGCTCAGTCCAGCATTGCTTTCGTATAATTTCAATCCGCCTTTACAGAGCTGGTTTAATGGCGTTAAATAAAATTCATATTGTCGTTCTTACCTGTTGTTTGGTCAGGGATCGAGCTCAAAGCTTGATAACTTATGCCTTGCCCTTGACGGTACCCATAAACTACAACATCGAACACAGCTGAGAAATTGGTGCTCTGTATGACGTGTATGCCTTCACTGACAGCAAACCTAAACAGGCTTTCAACTCCTTCCAGAAACATTTCAGATGTAAAAGCAATGATGTTGCCATCGAACAATAATGTTGAATTATCTGCAGTGTTGATGAGGATATTAACATAAGTCTCAAATTCGTCAGCGGCTATAATATAAAACTTTGGGGAATAATATTCCACCGCCCGCAGGACCATCATTGCTGACCCTCCACTGCTGTTCACCGAGTAACTCTTGCTGAACTGGACAACAAGTATAGGCTTGGTACTTCTGATGTCATCGCCTTCGGAAACCATTTCCCATTCCAGCACATCCCCTGATTGGAGATTGAATATATTCCCATCACTGACCCTCTCTATGGTGGTGTTTCTATATGCCGCCACAGCTCGGAGGACAGTTCCGCTTGTACGTCCAAGGAGAGGTGCTCCTAAATAACGGTATCCCCAAAGATCTACAGAAGGTAACTGTTCCAGGATATTATCACAAAAGATCTCTCCAAGAGGAATGGCAGCGCACACGATGCCAGCAAACACAGTTACAGGACCGTTGCTTCTGATCACAGTTCCTGTCAAATCCCGTTTGGATTCTAGTTGGAGGACTTGCAGTTTTTGAAGGGTAAGTTCCAGTGTGTCGCCATCAAAATAATCATTATTTCGGAATCTGACACTGTCATCCGTTTTGACATTTATAGAAACCGTAATGTTGTCTTCCGAAGACGCAATGGCAAAGTATACAAAAGAAGAACCACTTTGGTCATATGTAACGATGATGAAGCTGGGATCTTCGAGAACAGGAACAGGAATAGCCGAATATCCACCTGCCGACGCGGGATGTTTATCCTGTCCGTAGATGATAGAAACGGCAAAGTCGTCATCGGATGAAATACGGACCCCCTTCGTCTGCAGGTCGAATAGATTTATCTGGAGGTAGTAGAGGGTTCGAGACACGGCTCCCTTATAATGTCCTGTGACTCCTAAATTCAAAATGCTTCCCCCTGGTGGATGATGTGGGGTCTCGATCGTCACTGTCGCCCCTGGTTTGCCGACGATGTGAATTGTATATTGGTCTCCATTGGTGTCGAGTTGACTGGGAAAGGTTACCATGTACACCGTGCTTCCATGAACTGTGCTTGCTGAAAACATATACGCATTCGTAAGCTTCGGGTACATTATTTTATGTGTTCATCGGATGTACCATATATTTTTGTCCTTCTGACAAACATTTAATGAAGTTTTCTTTATTTGTAAAATGGAAATAAACCATATAATGCTGTACATATATATATATATATATATATATATATATATATATATATATATATCTGTTCTGTACATTTTGCAAGTTCATTTGATAGAACCTTTTAGAAAAGATGATATTATTTTCGGAGGTAATACTTTGATATGTGCTCTCGATCAGATGTGTGTTGCTTCTGGTAAAATACGCGGGTTGGTACATCATATCATTTCAAACTAATGTTAACATCTTTTACCGATTAAAGTGAGTGAGTGAGTTTAGTTTTACGCCGCACTCAGCAATATTCCAGCTATACGGCGGCGGTCTGTAAATAATCGAGCCTGGACCAGACAATCCAGTGATCAACAGCATGAGCATCGATCTGCGCAATTTGGAACCTATGACATGTGTCAACCAAGTTAGCAAGCCTGACCTCCCGATCCCGTTAGTCACCTCTTACGACAAGCATGGGTTACTGAAGGCACATTCTAACCCGGACCTTCACGGGTTATTACCGATTAACAATACGCCAGCAATGTTATTCTGCTAAGAAAATAACAATGCCGTTCAAGGTTCAAATGACCAATGATGATGTGGGTCAGAAATGATCTTTGATAAATAACCCATAACACGTCACAATTTAATTCTGGAAACGCTCTCCGCACTGTGGCCTGTTTCTGACAAAGGATTTGACAAAATTCAACATACAGTAATCTTCAATATATGTTAAGGCTGAAAACAATTGAATGTTTTTTTGAAAACAAAAAAAATAAACTCGTCGGCCTTTCGGCGAAAAGAGACATTTACTTATGCTCAAAATACATGTGTGTTTTTTTCATGTTTTTGAGGTAAATGGTTAAAAGTATGTTCATAAGTATCACGACACAAAATCTAAATGCTTTTGACTTAATTTGACTAAATTAGATCGTTATTATACAAAATCTCGCCCATGGGCGAACAATTTTTACTTTTTCTAAAAACACATTTGTTTTCATGTTTAAGAGGTTGTAAATGAATGAAAGTGTGGTGATAAGCATCATTTTGACTTAATTCGGCTAATTTAGGGCGTTACAAAATATCTTAGCCCATGGGCCAATATTCACGTTTACTCAAAACTCAGTTATAAATGTTAGTCAACAATGGGCGAAACAGTTTGAGACACTAACGAGCTAAAATTAATATCAATATAAGTTACATATATCTATTCTGACACTTGACAAACTCCTTTCTACATTATATGACAACACAGTACGGATTGCTTCATTTCATCCTTATGATCAAACTTCATTTTACCTTTTTCATGCCAGTGTTCCCTTTTGGGAACATGTCATAAAAGGCTTTGTAACTTTTTGATTCGTGAAGATAAATTAATGCTTTTGGACCATATTGATCTTAAGATAATTGCCAATGTTCTAACATTTCAAAATCATACTTTGAATATTTTTTAAAGAATTGACCAGGGTCCAAAAATGTCCCCCAAAACGGGTTTTCAACCGAAAACGTTATATTAAAAAATTGACAAATACATTTGTATTATCTTAAAACTGTTTTCACGTGTGGTGTCGCGTGGTCCTGTGCTCAAAGCTCAGGTCACAAATCGGTGAAGTTAAGCAGCGTCGAGCTCGGAGAGTCCTTGGATGGGTGACCGTGTTTGGCAGCTTGACTCCTGAGAGTTTCTAGGACTTGAGTCCTGCCCCACAATGAAGCACATGTGACACATGTAGTCTCACCTTAGGCAAGTGAGTTTGTTCAAAATTGTCTCTGTTCACCCTGCAGGAAAATAGGTACCCGGTGGAAAAAGTCATATGACTATAACCTTCAAGCGCCTAGCTTGGGTTATCCGGGGTAATAATGTGCTGTGCCTTGATTGTTAGCGCTATGTATCGTAGGCACTTTGGAACAGTGTTTATCAGGGATATTTATGATATTCCTTAAGTAATGGCCATGCTGTCAATTGAAATGAAATCAACACAGCTTGATCATTGACATCGTGGCCACCATCATAGAGTCATTAGCGGCCTATAATCAAAGTTAGACAAAGGCTGGTTGGCCACTGAAGCATGACATTGTGGATGAGGTGCGGGATACTGCAGGCTGACCACACATCTGTCACAAATACGACACGTGACAGTCTGATGAGGATTCTTCCCTGAGGGATAAATTGAGAATGCTTTGTGTTAGTCGAGACTTGACCCTGAGACAGCGACTAGGCAGGCTGGCTGACCATCGCCTCTGACATGCCGCCTAGCCATTGTTGTAACACATGTAGTTATACACATTTAAACTTTTGGTTTAAACAGCCTGGGATAAATGGTGAAGACCAAGATCTCGAAACCTCTCGGCATCAAAGGTCTTGAACGAAACTCCGACGATATTCATCCATCCTGGGTCCACATCACAACAAAAGTCAAACAGCCTGCAACATCAAATTAAGTTGACGAAAACAACCCGCCTGTGAAATATCTCTCAATGTGGACGTTTTACAGTTTGACGAAAATGATTCATCAAATACAACTGCAATCATATTGTGCTTTCATGGGACAAAGGTGTGAACACAAGAACTGGTCCATCATCACAAGCTTCACGCACAGTCGTCCAACAGCAAATACTGTGTTTGTGTAAACGAAGACTGACTGAGGAGAAAACAAAGAACTACAAAGTGTTAGTGACTTTTAGTGATATTTCTGTGTTTCTATCGTTATACACTACAGGGTGAGTGTTGATACGGTTTGGTTCATTCATTCATTGGTTTTTTCAATGTCTTTCTTTTCTTCTAAATCTTATGACGGATCCTCCAGTAAATCATATTTTCCTTGGAGGATCCGCCGAAAATCTAAATGTAAAGACATGACTCACGACAATACATCCACCCGCTCAGATTCTCCGTCTGCCCCCAACACCCTGATCACTACTGCCGTATTTATAATCCCCATTGTTGTGGCCGTTGCTGTTCTTCCCCTCCATGCTCCTCCCCGCCCCCTGACCGTCACGCTATCTGTACCCCACGTGTCAGATTCACAACCATTCCTATGCCATTATTCGACGGACATGATTCCCGATCGGCACCTTCCTGGCTTAGTCGATTCCAGAAATTTGTCAAAATTTAAAATTTCAAACCGCCTCCATGGTGTAGTGGTTAGAGCGTCCGCCTGGAGAGCGAAAGGTCGCGGGTTCGATCCCCGGCCGCGTCATACCAAAAGACGTTAAAATATGGTACTTGTTGGTCCCTGCCTGGCGCTCGGCATTAATGGGTACATCAAGGACTGGTCGGCTCGGAGTCAGTATAATGTGTCTGAGTGGGGTATTCATGCTTCACTGCGGCATGGTATCTCAGTGGGCTAGCACTATAAAACAGCTTAAGTCTGGGCTAGTACAAGCAGCCGCACATACACATACACACGCATGCACGTCGTCATATGAGCGAAATATTCTCAAGCACGACGTTAAACCCAATTTCACCTCACCTCACCCCAAAATTACATTGATGAAGAAATTGTTAAAGGTCACATGCAACCAAAAAATCAAACATAATTAAAACACAATTATCACTTATTCATGATATATAATATACATTGTTGGTTATGAAAAAACATATAAACAAAATTATAAGCGTGCAATCGCAAATCAAAAGTGCAATATTGTGTACTTCGGTTTACTTCCCAAGAAACGAAGCAGCCGGGATACCGAACCCAGTCAGAGCGGGTGGGTGTGCACTCAAGTATAACGGCTGGTACATTTGCGTATGCCCTCACGGCTATTGTGTGTGTATATATAGAGATGTTGGGTTTTGTAAATACATGCTTATTTTTTGTGTACAACATTTTGCAATCAACAGACATCATAACATGTCATGTGTTCAAGTATCACACCTGCCTGTCTGTGTAATTACATAATGTGACAGAGACCGAACTCGGGCCATAAATCAATGCATTTTGTTTATGGTGTATAGCCCGATTGGTGTTAAGTTCAAATTGCATGTGGTCAGTGATAGCAGCTGTGTATTGAATATTGTCATTAGCAGACAGGCAGGTAGACACACAGGTGTCAATAAAACAAGACATTGAGTTTTGTCTGTGACAACGACATATCTATATCACAGTTAGAAATTCTGTCAACGCTAAATAATGACATTGCTTTTAAGTATCGAACTGAGAAAGTGACTCGGTAAGAAGAACGTGTGGTGAAATAGACAAATGAAATTATATAAACAGTTTATTTACTGTCATAACATATAAAAAGCTCGCGCCTGTGAGATATCAACACAACATTAGAAAAATAGCTCACACCAAGCCTTCACCGAGTATTCGACGGACAACCCGCTTCCAAGCTGCGCGAACCTATTTCACTGCGCACGTGCTATGAGCGCAGCCCAGCTGTTGAAACCCGTTTTCCCCAGAAAAGTCTGGGGAAAATTAGTGAAACGTTTGAACTCCGATTTCGCGCGTTTTTTTTCATCGCGTTATTTTTCAACTTTATAAGTTCAATTTGCATTTTTGACGATTTGTTTCGGTAAGTCCATACCGAAAGGTATCAGAATCTGCAAAGTTGTGTTTTACGTTGCATGTGACCTTTAAGAGAGAGAGAGAGAGAGAGAGAGAGAGAGAGAGAGAGAGAGAGAGAGAGAGAGAGAGAGAGAGAGAGAGAGAGAGAGAGAGAGAGAGAGAGAGAGAGAGAGAGAGAGAGAGAGAGAACGTTTTTGTAACTGAGATTGAAAGAGAGAGAAACTGAGAGGTGACTGCTGTCTTATTGTTAGGATGATAACAAAATGACGATCCATTTCATGTCGATATTGATGCTACTTGGTACTTTCTGTTTCTAAAACTCTTGTCATCGTACAGGTTATTCAGTGGAAGATATCCACCTATAGTTG